GACTTCATTGAATTGTAGCTGGTTTCAATGTACAGTGTTCTCCCTGAGTACCGATTCTGCAAGGATATGTGGAAAATATGTCAAATTTCTGCATCTAGGTCGGAAACGGTGTTCCTCGTCAATTTATGTTAGTCGCGATGTTCAAGTAACGAACGGGTGAGGCATATGGCCTGAGATAGAAATATCTGTTCAAACGAGTAACCTTGTGATAAACGGAAATTTAAAATTCAAAGGATGGTGTCCTCTTCACAAACACATCTGGGAATGGCATAATCTCGTTCATACCAGTGTCGATAATAAGAAACCGTGTTCATCCCTTGATGTCCTGTCCATTCGTTGATGTAATTTGTGAAACCGTTTCAGCTGTTCTAGCATGTTATTTTTTTTGGAATAAAACGAAGACGTTATTCGCAAATCGGGTGTAATGGTCATTTTTCATTGACTTTTACCTGCAAGTTGTCCAGTATTTTGCTCCCTGTTAGTTTTTTGCATATTCCGTCGTTCTTCCATTACTCTACAATATTTTATTTGTTCATCTAATGCTAACTACTGCCTATAAGCATCTTTGATTGGCAGTCTAATTTTTTCCCTAACACAAATGTAAAGATTAACGTGGTTGATTAACCACCATATAATGTGGTTGTCTATTAGTGTGCCAATTTACGTTAGGCTTGGCGATTTAGTCGTTGATCTTGCCTTCTGGTGAGGTCGATTAGCGCTGAGTTACCAGTCGATCTTTCTGTATGATCAGAAACTAGGTGAAACGAATGGCGGCTGCATCGCCATAGTGATTAATCGAATGTTGTTTATGAATCAGCCAGTTTCATGGTTCACACTGTGGAGCGAACTGTCGCTGCATCGTCATGTGACTCATTCAATCCGCCAGTGAGCATATGGCGAGATTTCTTTTGCTGAGAACTTTCACCAAGTCGTGTTTCGTATTATCCCATTTCTGACCGTAATAGATTATGGAATATGGAAACAATTTCGCGGTTTTATAATATTGATAGATGTAAATGTGAACGTGCTTGATCGTGTTGCTTGTGTTGTTGAGTTTGTCGAGCTGTCTTTTGTATGTTGGTACACCTACCGGTTTCTGGCTGCTGAGGTACGGATTGTGAATGCACCGTCAGTGTTTCATGAATGAGGGGACTAGTGAGGGTATCGTTATTGTGATAGCGATACAACCACCGTTTCGTTTTACCTTGTTTTCGCCTTTTCTGTCATTTGCTTAATATGTATCAATTGGCATTTTTTAATTTTGCTGCTTTGCACCTGGCGAAACACGAGCGCGACAGCTGTTATGAGTAAACATGGAAAACGTGCAATTTAGCTTTGTTTCTGCTGCCACAGCAGATATAAAAATAGCTCTTCACACCACGGATAATGCTGTCTTTCTTGTCATAACTTCGAAACATTTCTAGACGATCTTCAACCCAAACTGTGAATTTCGTAGTAGTGAAATCTCGTCATCTGGATATGAGGCCAATACACAAAACCGCCTAAGAGAAATGCAGTGTTATTGCAGATCTGTTTATCCATCTTACATCGTGAACGTTCCGTCACTTTGGCAAGCGTTCAATTGCACTTTGAATGCAGGAATTAGAATCTATCGAGCGAGGAAGTCGCCAGAAATTGAAACGGCAAAAGTAGTGAGTGTTTTAAATGAGATTTTGTTTTTTATTAACTGTAATAATTTTATTGAGTTATAATTTTCCTACGGTTCGTTAAATTTTGAATTAGCTAGGTTTTGTTGCATTTTTATTTTCTGCTCATCAACCTGCTTGATCAGCGTGGTGAACATCTGCGGTGACGGTTGAAAACTTCAAGCAATGTTCACAAAGTTAGCGGGTTCAGTAGTTGCTAGACTTCAAATTTTAATCAAAGAAATAATGTTGAACCAAACTTTTTGCAGCAAGAGTTACATGACGGTATGTTTTGGATGTCATGCTCTTCGGCTGATTGTGCCATTGGCGCTTACTTTATATTACATGCCTTAAGGTTCATTTCTATTATACATTTGTTCATGAATACAAGTCACATACGCAAGGTTGATGAGTGTAATCGAAAATTCAAACAATGCAGCAGCAAGGATTTTCAAGGATTTTCTTCAGACTCGATCAAATCAGTTTCTCGATGCTCTCCTGTCTCATCAGTCGTGCTCTCTTACGGTTTTTTGTCACTGATCAACTGACTCTGTTTAGGGCCAGCCTGAGGATCAGCCGTTGCGCATCATCATAGAGGCAACACATTCGAAGTTCGATGCTAGGCAGCGTTCGTTTTCTGATGACTGATGATTGTTTTCTCTTTGGACCATGCTAAACGAGCGGTCGCGATGGAACGATGGCAACGGTCCAATGGTTGACAGTGGCCTCAAATGTGACGACGATTAATGGATGATGGGTTTTCGGTTTTTCCGCATACCCCGTACGACACGGGCGTCACTGCCTGTTTGGTGCTGTCGGCTTTGTTCGCCTTCCAATTTGTCAGACAACTCGTCCGACTGTTGCCCGTTCCGTTTTCCGTTTGTATACTGGGCGATTGTTACGTGTTCCGATGGCAGAATCTGATCGTCTCGTGGTTCCATGCGCTCATTACCGGAATCAGCGCTTCCTCATGGTAACTGAACGTCTTTCAATTTCAGTTCATTCTTTCTCATCTGGTTTTCCTTTTAATGTATGCTTTTCAGCTTATGGTTTTACTGGGAAAGTATGTTCGAGGATATGATGCATTTTGTCAACTGGCACAGTTTCTGTGTATGCTGCTTCGCCACCGGTAAGATATTCACGTTCATACTATTTGATGCACCTTGCATTTCCGTTACCTTCTGCTTTTCAATAACTGTGTTACCAGTACTGCTACGCGTGGTATATTAATGGAGCACTGCATATAGTGATAGTAGTGTTGATGTTCGTATTGCAAATAGGACACATAACAGTTGCGTCGTCGTTATTACGGATGACTGCTATTTATGCGAAATTAATTTATCTGCATATCTTCTAGCTTCGTAACTGAATATTACACAGAAACGATCGAGTCAATTTTTATTCGTTATTCGTGTCTGAGTTTGAAAGCGGCCCTGAAACGATGTACTCATGTCGCATGATGACGGAAGAGATATTTAACTCTAGTTTTAATTCCTTGCTTCATAATTCTTGATGGTTGTTTAGTTACTCTTATTTATCTTGCTTTTGGTAAAATAAAATTCAAGATAATTATGGACTGACAATTAAACAGACAGAATGCTGAAAACGCAACAAATGACATGACTCATTATTGAAGAATAGAAATAACGATTTAATTTTTGAAAATATTTTATTTTATATTATTTTGTGTCACTTGTTTTACACTTAATGTTTAGGGTATTTTTTGTACGACACCCTCGATATAGTGTATGGGGGAAGACTGAAGCAGAAGTGGGATATTCTCCTACATCATTTAGCGGTAAGGATTTAATTGATTTTTTCTGTGCAGAATTCATAATGTGTACTACCTCGGTCGCTACATAGTGATTATTTAAA